CCTCAGTCTTTCCTCATAAGTCATGTGCCCAGCCCCCTCACCATTTTCACTGCCCTCCATTAGACTCTCTCCAATTTGTCCACATCCTTTCTGTAGTGGGGGGATAAAAACGGGACACAGTACTGCAGATGTGGCCTCACCAGTGCTGAATAGAAGAAAAGAATCACTTCCCTTGACCTGCTGGCAACACTGCTACCAATGCAGCCCAGTATGCCGCTAACCTTCCTGGCAACAAGGGCACACTATTAGCTCATTCAGCTTATTGTTTACTGTAACCCCCACATCCTTTTCTGCAGACCTGCTGCCCCGCCAGTCAGCCCCCAGCCTGTACTGGTGCATGGGATTGTTCCATCCTAAGTGCAGGACTTTACACTTGTCCTTGTTGAACCCCATGAAATTCCTTTCAGCCCAATGCTGCAATCTGTCAAGCTCACTCTGAATCCTAGCCCTACCCTCCAGCTTATCTACTACTCCCCCCAGCTTGGTGTTATCTGCAAACTTGCTAAGGGTGCACTCTATGCCATCTTCTAGGTTGCTGACGAAGACATTGAACAAAACTGGCCCCAGGACCAACCCCTTGGACACTCCACTTGATACCAAGTGCAAACTAGACATCGATCCATTGATTACTACTCTCTGAGCCCAATGCTTCAGCCAGTTTCCTATCCACTTTACAGTCCATTCATTCAGCCCATACTTCCTTAGTCTGCCTGGGAGAATGTATCAAAAGCCTTGTTAAAATCAAGGCACACCACATTCACCAGCCCCATGGACTTGTACATGTCCAGCTTTTCTAAGTACACCCTAACCTGTTCTTTCACCACTGAGGGCTGCTCCCCAAACTGTGCTGCCCAGTGTAATAGTCTGAGAGCTGACCTTGCCTGTGAAGACTTAGGCAAAAAAGGCATTGGGCACTTCAGCCTTTTCTGCATCCTCTGTCACAAAGTTGCCTCCCCCATTCAGTAAGGGACCCACACTTTTCCTGATATTCCTCTTGCTACCAACATACTTGTAGAAACCCTTCTTGTTATGCTTTACATCTCTTACTAGCCACAACTCCAATTGCACTTTGGCCTTCCTGGCTTCATCCCTGCATGCCCGAGCAATGCTCTTATACTCTTCCCAAGTTATTTGTCTAAGTTTCTACTTCTTATAAGCTTCCTCCCATGCACCCATTAGGATATAGTTCTTGCCTATTTAAATACCTCTTTACTTATAAGTATTCTCAGAAGTAACAAGGGAGTTCACTGAAAGGCAGCAGTCCAGGTAATATATCACACACATCTAAGGGTATCACTCAACCACAAGCCCTACCCTGCCCACTTAAAGTAGAAATTGAAAAAGTCAGAGTGAAATTAGAAGTATTCTAAAATATTCAAAATGTATAAGAGATGTATAACTCACTCAGGCAGATTTAAACTGCATATGACCTCTCTATCCAAGAAAGTATTTGAGATAATCAGGTCTTCCTCTTTCCCAAACCGATTATTTTTTTTCTTTCTTGGGGATTCTAAAATATTTTCCAGGATTGGAAGATCAATTAACTGCAGCAGCCGTAATAGAGTCTGTTGTTTCCACACATCTTCTATAACTGGGAGCACAGAGAGAGAAACAAACACCCAGATAAGTTAGGTTATTGGGAACATATTTATAAAATGTTGTTTACTATTTTAAAACAGCAAAAAAAAGCATTTCTATTTAATATTACAATAAGCTATTTTTGAACAGGTGAAGAGTACTTATTTTCAAGTAAAATGCAAGTAATCACCTCTTTGTGAAAGCAGATGGAATGGTTCACTAACTAGAACTTTAGGCAAAAAAGATGGATGTATATTCATTGACTGAAGAAGTTCCTCTATCTCCTTTTTATCAGCAGCTTCAAATGCCAAGGGATTTGAAATTGTTGTGTCACATTTTTGTCTGTCATGAAAAAAAATGTAAGTTCATAATAAATACAATCCAGAGAGCATTAAAAAAGTCTGCCTAAATGACAGTTCTACATTTCTTTCAGTTGCACAAATTATATAAATTAAGATTTGGATAGTGTTTTTGGATAGCTGGCTTTCCTGCTTGATTTACAGTTAGCAGAAACCCTAATAAAGCAGGAAAGCATACACATGTTGCAGCTAGGGTGGCTGTTATAGGGGACAGTCCGGTTGTGCTCTGTCCTCTATTGATATGAATCCTGACACCTTTATGTCTTCTATCTTTCTCTTCGAGAGAAAAATAGAGGACATAAAAGTGTTGGGATTCATATCAATAAAGGACAGAGCAGCAGAAAACCAGAATGTCCTCTATGATGGCCACCCTAGTAGCAGCCCTTAACCAGGGCATTTTTACCTGTCCACTGCTGTGGCAGGGGTGTTCACACAAAGACACCCCTTTAGGGTAGTGAGAGCCAGAGACCTGAAAAGTTTCTTAGGAGTTAAGATAGACACCACTAGCATGAACCCTGCAAAGGTAGTAAGACACTCCTACCAAGAGAAGCAGAACAGTTCAAGTGACTGGAAAGGGGGAGGGGCTAGGGGGTATAAAAGCTCTCGCCTGAGAAGGGAAAGTTAATCAAGCTCTGATTGTGGAAGAGATGAATTGTTCTTGCTGGACAGAAGGAATGCTGTGATGGACAAAATGACTAATCCTGGATGGGTTTTACTTCAGATTCTTTATTCTAGTACCAGGGCCAAGCAGCAAACTCTTGTGTTGTGGACTCTGTCAGAATTTTCTGAGGTGGGAAAGAAGCTAAATTGAATCTTCTTTTCAACAGGCACTTGGTGGATGGGGAACAGCTATAAGGGTAGACAAGGAGGCTGCATAACAGGTTGCTTAACAGCCTGTGTGACATTTCTCCCATCCAAGAAGTGGGTCAGAAGATGCAGGAACCCAAGCTGAGTGGGGGCCTAAGGACCTGCCACTGTGGTCTAAAAGTTAGGTGGTATGTTTGTCAAGCCCAAGGCTTTGAGTTCTAGAAGGGCAGAAGTACAGAAGTGATCAGGGACTGGGAGAAGAGGTCTGAAGACCCAAGAACCCTAGGCCCAGAGAGACTGAGACCAAAATGGGCTGGACTCAGTGACTGAGCTGGAAAAGATTCACTTCAGATAAGATAGCCAGGGAGCCGATAGATGCCAGAAGCCCCACTGGTGTGTTCAGACATTATCAGATTCCTCTTCCCTGTGCATGCCACCCTCCTGCTCTCCTTTCCCCATGCTCCTGCTCAGCAGAGGTAGGACACAACCCAGCTCACTTTTTTTTTCCTCCAGCAAGGCATCGCAGGTGTGGGGACCAGGGAGGTGTCAGAGTAGACTGGGGTGACAGGACTAGCTATAGGCAGAGAGAGAACCCTTCCATTGGAGTCCTTTCGCAGCTTAGCGTAAACAAATTTGTAGTTGATCTGGGTTAAGACGACTACAAACTGAAAAGATGCCTGAGATCAACTGGTCAGCTCCATGTATATTTCAAGGAGCACAATCCTTCCATAGTGCTTTATAAGCACTAGTAATCACAGCACATCAATGAAAAATAACTTGTGTTACAAGCTGGAGTAGGGGGGATGACTTTTTATAATATGAAAAATAACCCGAACAGGAGATCAGCATTAAAATTGGAATGAGAACATGGAGCGCTGGACCCATGCTTAGTCAAACACCAAACTCAATTCCATGTTATTAAACTGCCTCTGTCCCCAGCTTCCTTACAGAAGACACACATACTGGTTACTGAGGAAAAAGGCAGATTTTGCTATAGGCAGCCAGCTTGGAGAACACTTCAGGTGATTAGCATTACCAGTGAAATCCAGGATGGTATCATGATAAACTATATAGTCTCCCAAAACTGAGAAGAACTTGGTGTACCAATAGGTTTCATAGGTCTCAGTGGCTTACCTTATATGACTGGAGAAGGCAATTTGAATACCACATGGGGAGGGAGGGGTGGAGATGCGGTGAAACCTGACCATGACTAACCTTTCTGCCTTCAGCTCAAGTACTTCCTCAGGGGACAAGTTCTCAGCATCTTTGTTCTCTTTCAGTTCACAAGGAGAAAGACTGTGGTCCACAAACCTATAAAGGCTGCTATTTGTGTCCTCAAACTCCAGGTCTTTCTCATTCTTGAATAGCTTTGTTCCAACTGGCTCAAACACCTTCCGTTCCATCAATACTTGGCACACGCGGACTCCCTTCGCACGAGAAATATCATTACTGCTTAAGTATGTGCTTCGCATAAGATGACTCAGCACCACATCAACAGCGTCGGAGCCAGTGAAGCAGTTCCTGTACATCCTTAGATGCTGCCGTCTCCTCTTGATTACCACCGAGTCCCGAAGAGCACGGATCATGCCATTCCATAACTGAGTGGCTTGAAAAGGGCCATCAGGGCCTGCAACAACATGACAGCAGCTGTGTTACTGAAAACATGCACAATTCACTTCTGACCACGTTGCTCTCCTTTGACACGCCCGAAAATGAAATCTTGTTTTCCTAAGAGTAGCCAGAGAGAAGCGGTGGCCACACACACCAGCTTGCCCCTTGATTCGGCTCCAGGCCCCGTCTGCCACCCACAGGCGAGACTGACGGGGCCCTGGCCACTGCGTCCACCCCCAAAGGAAGACTAACAGGGCTGGAAGAAACTCTAAACACCTCTGTCCTCTTTCCCCAGTGTCCCCGACTGCGCACCCAGGGGAGCGATCAGAATCGGGAAGAGAACCAGGGTCTTCCTACTGCAGCAGGAGGGGAGGGAAGGGGAGGGGTCTCCCCCCGAGATGCGGCTGTTGGGGGTCCCCTAGGCCAGTGACACGGAGGCTAGCTGCGGGGAAGGGGGGCGACGCTCTCACCCCCTGACCGCCGCCGCCGGAGCTCCGCCTGGCTGCGGAGCCGCCGGAACCGCGGAGTCAAAGGCGCCGCCATGGCTGCAAGCCCCGCCCCCTGCCTGCTGAGGGGGGTGAGGGGTCGCCCCTGCTGCTTCCGGCCCCGCCCCCGGTGGCGGAAGTGAGGCGCGGCGGGCGGCGCTCGGGCTGTCGCTATGGAGTAGTCGGAGCGGAGCTGAGTGGCGGTGGCAGCAGCGGCTGCGAAGTGGGGAGGCCTCGCCCGCGGCTTCCCCTGCGGCGCAGGTAGGCGGCGGCGGCTGCCTCCGGCTTAGTGACACCGCGGAGGCGTCCCGCTCCGTGGGCGCTCGTGCAGGGCGGGGGTGGGAGGCTGCCTCCGCCCCCCTGCTGGCGGGTTTGCCGCGTGTGCCCCGGCCGGAGCCCACTCGCAGCGCGGCTTGCCCGGCCCTCCGTTGTAGCAATCTTGGTTGGGGCGGGTGGAGTTGTTTGGCCTTCATCTTCCTCTTCCGTGTTTCCGATGCCGCCCGCACGGAGCGGGCCTGACGCACCTGCCCGGGGAGGGGACCGCCTCCCCGCCCCCACTTGAGGTCTTCACGGGGCGAGTGAGAATAGGCCCCTGCCCCCTGCAAGGAAGCGGGAGCGCGAGGGTCTGTCCCACCCGGCCGTTTGCCCGCCTTGGTGTGTTTTTCCGGTAGTGCTACCGCTCCTGGCGGATGGGAGAAAGCAAAGGCTCTCGTGGCTTGCCTTAGCTATATGTCGTTGAGATCTTGCCCCATTATAGACTTGAACCGTGGAGCAGTCTTTGTTGTCCTAGTCTGAAAACGCCTAATATAGCATTTGTCAACCCATGGGTCACAAGAATGTGGAAGGGTTGTGGGTAAACTTAAAAAATGGATTCTCCTTTAAAGGACAAAAACATGGAAAACTCTGGGTTTTCCCTTGCAGGCAGGCAGAGCTCCAGCCTGCAGCAGACTGTTTGGGGGCTCCCTGCCCCACACACCGGGGGGTGGAGCAGCTGGTCACAAGTGAGGGCCAGTTTTCTACTTAAACTACTTACTGGGTTGGGGCTGGCCATCAATGTTTACAAATGGGTCCTGGTACAAAAAAGGTTCAGAACCATTGACCAAATGGTCTCGTGATCACCTCATATTGACACATGCTAGCTCAGTTTTAAAGAATTGAAATTTCAGCCGAACAAACTAACATTCCTGTGACTGCTCAAAGAGCACAGTTTCAACAAACAAGTTCTGTTTTGACAGTCATTCGTGTTGTCATAGTTATGCCAAGTTATGTTCTTTTACAGAATTTGCTTAATGTTGGGGGGTTTTTTTAGCTTTGTTATAAGAGCTGATGTCTTGGGAGATATCATTCAAGCTGGTTATAAAAAAGCCATTGTTGTTGGGTTGCTGTCATCTTATTGAAATAAGACTGTATTAAAAAATAGAGATATGGTCAGTGTTTACAGCTGTTTACCTTCAAAATAAGATGCACACTGAGGGATAGAAATGACTCATTCTGCCTTTCATCAGATGAATTAATTGGTGGTTTGTGCGGTCTCAAGTGGTGACAGAACAGGTTGGACCTATGCGTAGCAGGCCTGCTTGTAAATCCAGCACTGAATTTTTGCTAGCAGGATCCCCTGCTTCCCTTTCCAGGCTTGTCAACATGCCTACCACATGTGACTGTCATCTCCAGGGGAGAAGATTTCTAATCATTGGAAGCTGCATCAGTTCATTTTTTCCAGTTGTCAGTAACTGAATTCACAAACTTATGCAAGGGAATTTTGATTGTGTGACGGACACTAAATGGGAAGTTTACATTGTGCTTCATGTGAAATCAAGTTTGTAAGCATGCCTCCAGCATGAATTCAAATGCAACTTTTTTTTAGTACTTTAATACCAAAAAGAACACTTCATTCTAAGTAATTTTCTGAACTGAATGACAGAAGGAAGAGCATGGTTGCATCACAGAGTCTCTCTGGATGATCTTAGTTTAAGGTGCTTACTTTAGTCCCTAAGGCATGCCACCCCACCCTAACTGCTGCCTGACTTCTGATGAACTGATTACCTCTGTTTAAACTGCATGAAATGTAGGTATGAATCGTACATACAGTGTAAAGGGGAAATGGATTAATAATGATTTTTAGCTTTAATAAGCTTGAGGTAAGGCACATGAGGGATTTGGTTTTAAAATTATTTAATCCTAGTGTGGCAGACTTGTTTTGCTTTAGTTTTTTGCCAGTGGTGCTTATTCTGAACCTTGAAATTCCATGTTATGCCTTCTTCAGTGATATTGCTTTTTTTCCTTTTCTGAACCAAGACCAATAAATCGGATAATTGTAAATGCTGTCTTTTCATCTTCCTCCACAGTGACAAGAAAGTAACACCTCATCAGAATTTAACAAGATGCAGTGAAAAAGTTACCAAACATAGCATTTATGACTCTGCTAACAAAAATATATGGTACTGTGAGGTACAGCACCTGTCAACCTTTTATGCCAGTGTGGAGGAAAGGTGCTAGGCAGACCCACATTTACTGAGAAGGCATTTCAGAAATGGAAGGAGGAATTAAGATGCAGTATTGTATCTGGCTACTTTAATTTAAATCTTTCAGTAAAGAAATGTGAATATTAAGAAATCAGATATGTACATGCATCTGGTTGCCTGATTTTTATAGTCCTTTAAACATGTGAAGTTCCCATTAAAAGACAGCTTCTTGAGAATGAAGTCTTTGAAGCAGTGGTTCTCAATCTTTTCAGAATCAGGCCACCCTTCCCCAACTCTTTTGAATTTGACAGCATCCTTGGCTAAGAACCACTGCTGGTGCTGCCTTAACTTGCCTCAGTGGTTTTTAACAGGTGCTGCCTCCACAGTGAGATAAAACTGCCCTACTCAACTGCTGCACTCCCAGAAGGACTGTGGCACATATGCAATCTCCTGCCTTAATAGGATTTTCTGTAAACCCTAAAGCATTCAGGAGAGCTGATTTGTGCTGCAGCCCTCCACAGTCTGATCCTACACAGCATCTCCTGGAAAGAGGCACGTGGGGCAGGTGGAACTATCTAGTACAGTCGTGGCCAACCTGCGGCTCTGGAACCGCATGTGGTTCTTCAGAAGCTAATATGCGTCTACTTGAATCTTTGCACAAGTACACGGTGACCAGCTTCCACTTGGAAGATGCCTGACTGTTTGGAAGCTCGTCACCTTGTGCTTGTGCAAAGATTAAAGAAGACACATATTAACTTCTGAAGAGCGGCATGTGGCTCCGGAGCCACAGGTTGGCCACCCCTGATCTAGTACATCTCCATTTTGGAGAGGAGTATTGGAGATGAGGACACCAAGAAGGACCATAGCATAAGTGCAGGCTTTTGCCTGCTTTAGGGATTGCAGAGATCTCAAGTGAGGCAGGAGAGCCATGCACATGTTGCAGCCCTACCTAGTGCACCGGATGTTTTTACCTTGTCACCACCATAGTGGTAATACCCACACAACACTTCTGAGGGGGTCTCCAGGCACCCCTGCTGAAAACCATTGCTTTGAGGACTTTAGATACCTGCACCTTTTTTTTGGAGAGTTTCCAGAGAGGCTTAGTTATCCCAGCTTATTAGGTTGGTAGTCCTGTGGTTTTCAGCCTTTTTGGACTCAAGGCATCACTCTCTATTTTTATGAATTGAATGGCAAGTAATTAAAAAAAAAAAAAAATTATGTATTACAATGTTTACCTCTCCACATGGGGGTAGGCACTAGGAGTGGGGTATCCTTCAAGTAGAAACAAACCGGCATTTGGCTTATCTGCTTATCTCCTCACACCTTGTGCAACCTTCAGATGGTCTGATGGCACTCCAGGGTGCCCAGTTCCCTGGTTGAGAATCACTGGCTTATTCGCTTCCTTTCATTCATTTAGGGAGCTTAGTTATAAGCTAGTCTGTGTTTGATATGGGTTAATGCAACTACAAATTGTTCATATTTTACCATAATGCAGTACAGAAAGTAAACACAATTTTAAACACAATTAATTAGGCTATACAATATTATAATAATAAATGCCATACTAAAAGTTTTAACAAAATATAATAAAAAGTAATTTTCTGTAATTCATTTTCATAAAAGCTTCTGGTGAAGCATTTAACATTCAACAGTTAAATACCTAATTACTATGAAGTAATTTTGTGCCTTATAGCTTGATCTCTCCCTTCCAGTTTGTTAAGCAGTTGGACAAAAAATCATCTATGTGCATATGCACTTTGTGTTTAAAACCTGTCAATAAAGTATTTCTCTGTTGAGGTGGTACCAGTTCAAAGCAAGATTTGGCTCTTTAGACCTAAGCAATTCATAGTTTCATAGTTGATAGGGTCGGAAGGGACCTGAGCAGATCATCAAGTCTGACCCCCTGCCATGGGCAGGACAGAATGCTGGGGTCAAATGACCCCAGCAAGGTGTCTGTCTAACCTCCTTTTAAAGACCCCCCCAGGGTAGGAGCGAGCACCACTTCCCTTAGAAGTTGGTTCCAGATCCTCCTAGCTGCCCTGACTGTGAAGTAGTACCTCCTGATATCTAGCCTGAATCTACTCTCTGTCAACTTATGGCCATTATTCCTTGTTACTCCCAGTAGTGCTCGGGGGAACAGGGACTCTCCCGTTGCCTGCTGGTCTCCCTTGGCCAGTTTATAGATGGCCACCAGTTCCCCTCTCAGCCTCTTGTGGGAGGCTGAACAGGTTCAGGTCTCATAGCCTCTCCTCATAAGGTTTGCCCTGCTGCCCCCTGATCATGTGAGTCGCCCTCCTCTGGACCCTCTCAATGTTGTCCACATCCCTCCTGAAGTGTGGTGCCCAGAACTGGACGCAGCATTCCAACTGCGGCCTGAGATAAGCAGATAAGCCAAAGGAGAACCCTTTCTGCAAATGAACGGACACATGCTGATCTTTACCTATAGGAGTAGTCTTATTGAAGCCATAAGGTAGGAATGGCTGAACTTTATAATCATTTTTGCTGCGAACCAAAATCTTGACGTGACTGAGAGCCAGAAGAAATAGTTGACTCTGCCACATGTAAATATCAAAAACTACCTGTGTAGTGTGCCTTATCTTAAGTAGTTACCTGTTGTTCAGACAATATGAAACTTTTGTAGACCGTATGAAACTTTTAGAATAAATAAAGAACTGAACAAAATCAAGACCAGATAATGAACGCAGAGGAAAAAGTGTTTTATTTGTAACTACTTCTGTCTTTTTCAGAAACTGCTTTTAAATTGCCTATGGTTTTACAGGCTACAGTTTAGCCAACCCA